GGGGGGGGCGTGGGCGGGGGGGTGGGGGGCTCAGTCCCCGCCCGGGCGTTGCGGCGGTCGGGCCGGGCGCTGTGGAGCCTCGTGCGTTTTCGCCCCGCTCCCAGGTCTTCGTGTTCGATGTCGGCGGCGGGACGTGGCGCTTCTACAACTGGACCCACATCACAACGGTGGCGACCTTCGGAGACTACGACCCCGAGCTCATGTGTTACGCTCATGCCAAGGGGGCCAGGGTAGTGCTGAAAGGTGGGTCGCAGCGGGGGCAGCAAAGCTGGGTGGGGAAGCGCCATGCTTGGGGCTGTCAAAACCCGGCTGGGCGTCGCTGGGCTGGGGAGGATGTAGTTGGGGCCGGTCCTGCTTTGAGCCGGGATTGGGCTAGATGCGACCTCGTGGTGTCCCTTCCCACCCTCATCTTTTATGAGTCTATGATTTGAATTTTATTTGTAAAAGAATACAGATAGAGCTGCAAGTACCCTGTGGCTTTTACATAACCAAAAGAAAGAATAATCACGGAGAACTCTACAATTGTTTGTTTTTTTGCACAATAACAAAACTATTCCTCTGGCAGCCAAGTAAAAGATCTCAGGTGAAAGTGAGCAGTAGAAATTGCAGGGGAATGGGGAGGGACAAGTGGAAAGAAAGAAGTATGCCGGGTCACTCGCATATATTTACAATGCAACTATTATATTTATAGTATAATAGTTATATCGTATAATAACTAGTCTATTTACAATGCAACTAATATTATAGATGCAATAATATAATAATCATGATACAAATGTATTATTTAAAATATTTGGTTTTGGACAAGAATATCCTATCTTCATGTATGAAGAAAAAGGTAGATACTGAACGAATGTTGAGGTGAACAAAGTGCAACAGGAGATAGGAACCTGAAAATGCTGTTCCTGCACACACACAGAAAAATAAATTATGTCTTGTTTAGTAGATGATTTGTATTATTCGATACAAAAAGGAATAAAAGGCCAAGAACTATGTTGGCGGATAAAGGGATTATATAAAAGGAAAGGTTAAAAGAGAAAAATGTGTCTTGGCAATAAGAGTCAGTAACTATGGTTGCCTGAAAATATCAGATGGAAACTGGCTTTTTTTTTTTTTATTTTAAAAGAGAGAGAGGAATGGCTCTTGGTGGATAAGGAGAAATAGCCAGACTCAATGGGATGAAACTCCCAAAGAAAGCCGGAAAAAATGTCAGAAAGAAATATCAACTAGATCCTAGCAAGCTATCCTCAAGAAGCTCCTGAAACTTTTATAGCACCTCTCAAAATTAAGCTTAAAAAACACCATCCTTGGGGACTGTCAAAACCCGGCTGGGCGATGCTCTGGTGGGGATGATGTAGTTGGGGCTGGTCCTGCTTTGAGCTGGGATTGGACTAGTTGTGACCTCCTGGTGTCCCTTCCCACACTCATTTTCTATGATTTGAAGTGGATACTAAGGATAAAGACGCGCTCTTTTTTCTGGTACCATGATTTAAAAAAAAAAAAAAAAAAGGTAACTTACAAAGATGTCCTGTTTAGGAGATGTACCCGTTAAGAACATGCTTGAGCCTGCTGCAAGAGAATTATGGATAACTCAACAGGTGGAACTGGCTAAAAAGCAGTATATGGATGGAATTAATATCGACATAGAGCAAGCGGTTAGTAGGTCATCACCCGAGTATGATGCATTAACAGATCTAGTGAAAGAAACTACAGATGCTTTTCACAGTGCAATTCCAGGATCACAGGTATAAGATGTGTTCTGTATAAACATAAGTTTTAATGTTGTGAAATCCCCATCTAGTATAGGCTGCGTATTTAAAGTCTTCTGCAAACCTCTGTCGTAGTCCTAGTTTTCCACATTTGTGCTTTGTTCATTTTACTTGTTGACTCTGGTTTTCTCATAAGGACCACTGAACTTGTTCTGCTATGCTACCTAGTTATAAAAACAGAACCATTGTTTTGCTGAGATTTACGATATTTATGTTATAGCCCTTTTTGGTATGTCGGCTGCCATTCATAAATCACTTGCCATTCACCATAATAATGTGGTAGTGATATGGATTAATGAAACTTCTTAACAGTATACATATGATATCAGAAAAAAATATAAATCTTTAGAAGTTAGCGGTATAATGTTGGAGAGATTCACAAAAGTTTTCATATCTTTAAATGGACAGCCCTAAACTATAATAATCTAATCTCAGAGCAGCCAGAGGCCACCCACCGCATTGGTTGCAGGCCCTGGGCCACACACTGCAAGGTCTGCATGCCTGAGGGGACACCTGGGATCCTCAGGAGTTGCCCACGTCTGCCACGGTGCTGTTGATCACCCCACCACCACCATTACAGTTGCACAGATAAGTTTCCCCCACACCATGGGAGCCCCCCTATGCTGGCACTGCCAGCAAACTCACGTGGCTGCCTCCTGTACTGTTTTGCCCCAAGGACCCTGGCCGCCACGCACCTGAACAGGCAAAGCAATGGGGAGAGTGTTGGTAGGACAGGAGTCTGTGGGCTGCATATGTGGGTTGGATACAGCCCTGTTATAGTTCGTGAGATGTAATGTTCGATCTCTTTTTAGTGATTTTTAAACTACAGTTGTCACAGACTTGATAAGACACAGAGTGGGTTAATTCTCCTGTTTTTTACGCATGTTAAACAAATACTTCTATAGGCAGACTAGTTCTGAAAACAAGCATCAAAACAATAGAGTGCATCAATTCAATAGGTAATATAAACTTCTGCTCTTCTCCCTCAGGTAACATTTGATGTGGCTTGGTCTCCAGAATGCATTGACCAAAGATGCTATAACTACATCGGCCTTGCAAACGCTTGTGATTTCGTGTTTGTGATGTCGTATGATGAACAGAGTCAGACCTGGGGAGAATGCATTGCAAGACCCAATGCTCCCTATAATAAGACCGTGAGTGGTAAGGATCTATTTTTTTTAATTCAGCAGCCAGCATATACTCTTTTTTTTTTTTAATTATTATTAGAATAGCTTATTAGCTTCTTTTTTCTTTTCTTTTCTTTTCTTTTCTTTTCTTGGTTGCTTTCTGATCACGTTGGGGGTTATTTTTTTGTCGTTGTGTTTTTGTTTTGTTTTTTCTCCTAAAACCTCAGACACGAGTATAGGTTCCTTGTAGCTTTATGACACTGTGGATAAACATTGTATCACAATTGCATGGCATAATGAGACAAATTTTATCCTACGCATAAGCCTTTAGTCTTTATTATGGTGAAAACTTTAAAAAAGCAAGCAAAACATGGTGCAGTAGTGGGGTCATCCTTTTCTTTGTAAAGAGCATTAACGACTTATCTCTGAAAGGTGTGAAGTACCTCTCTGTGGCAGGTTAACTTGGATGTTATGAGATGACCGTTCAAAATGTCTGACCTGTTCTCTGAGGGGAGGGGGGTGGGGAACCAACAATAGGAAAAGAGAGGGAAGATAATATTATGAAGCTCTATATAGTCTGCTAGGAGTGGCCTCTCAGTTATTGCTATTCATAGTAGTGCTTGAGAGAACACTATCACCCCCGCCCCCAACAGCCTCTGCTTTGATCTTTGCAGACAGAGTCAGAGGGGAGGAACAGACCATACTGCAGATCAACTGAAAGTTGCCAAAGGGGATGAACCCAATGGGGAGGTCCAACCCTTTGATCAAAAAGCACCATCTAACCTACTGTGATACAGAGTGTGTCCAGAGGTATCTTTCTCTATCTTTAATCGCTGTATATGTCCAGACCTGGCCAGAGATTGCTGGATCCCTTGCTGTCAGGCCATGTTTTTCATGTGATGTTTGTTTGTTTGTTTGTTTGTTTGTTTGTTTTGTTTGTTTTTTTCTCCCCTCCCCCCCCACAACAGTAGAGATGGGAAGCAATTTCTGCTTGTGTAATGTTTGAAGTCTAACACCCTCATGCATCTCTTGGAATTGGGCGTTAAACAGTGCTGTATGTGCCTGTGTCTTAATCCTCGCCTTGCCCAGGAGCGTATCTGAATCCTAAAATCTGTGAGAGCCAAGCAGAGCACGCCATAATTTCAAATATTCAAAACAGTTTATTGTGACTAGCATCCCAAATAGGCAAGACTTGGTTTGTAAGCAGAAGAGGAGACAGTAAAACTGCTCGGCATTTTTTGTTTTTTAATACCCTGCCTGAAGTGGGGAGCAGCTGGCTTCCAGCCAAGGAACATAACAGTTTGTTCCCACCTTAGGTGGGAAGGGAAGTCCTGGGGAGGCTGTATTTATTTGAGATCTGTGACTCGGATGCTTCTAATTCAGGTCTTTCCCATGAACAACACGTGCCCCTGGCAGTGTCGGCAGTGCCTTTTCGTAGGGAGTGCACGTGCATCTGCATGCACCCCCTACGCGTTGCCAGTAGTCTTCCCTATGCAGGGTGGTAGTATAAAAGGCAGAATTTGGCACTGGTAGAGTATAACTTAGGTTCAGGCTTCCATAGCTGCTGTTCAGCCAGTATGCCTTAATCTCAAACTGGTATGATTGGCTGTAGAGGTGCATAGGGAGAGTTGCATTCAGCTATTGTTTGTTTTGCTGGACCGTCAGCAAAAGTCAGTGATAGCACTTTGTAATATGGACATGCCTCTATCGGGGATTATCCTGAGACCAGGAACTCTTGAGGTGCACCAGATAAGAGATGGTGACTGTATTGGATTCCTGAAGTTGATGGCCTAGCATCTAAGTATTTATTACTGAGTTCTTTATGGGCTAGACAGGCCAGGTCTGAGTGGACATCATATTCAAAAGTAAGAATACAGAACATTTTCATGAACACTGCTTGCCCCCAGAAGCTGTGGGGGCACAGCGAGCACCAACCAGTGGTTGGTGAACCCCTGCAGGCGCTGGTGGCAGCGGTGGCCAGCAGCCATTGGGGACCACCTGCAGACACCACTGGCAGTGTTGGTGACAAGGGTGGCAAGTGACAACCGCCTGCAGGCACCACCGGCAGTGTTGGCGTGCCTTTTTAGAGGGGGTGCCCCACAAAGCTCAGGGGGTGCACGTGCATCCGCATGCACCTCTTATATGCATCGCCAATGGAATGTGTACATCATTAGCATTATTTTTTAACATTTCTCACGTATTTTGTCTTTAATGCCATATATATTGATTTATATTTAATTTGTCACTTTGTAACCATTCCTTAACATTCATTTTAACATGACCCAACATCAACCTTCCCTTTGGGTGTTTACTATTGTAGTATTTCTTAGTTCATATTTTTAATTTAAGAATTCGTACGGAATATTAAGCAGCAAAAGAATCGTAGAGAAGTAGGACTTGAAGGGACCTCCACAGGTTATCCAGTCCAAGCCCCTGCTTGAGGCAGGAACATCCCTATTGAAACTGTCCTATACAAATATTACAGGTGTAGAGCATGTGTTTTTGTTTTTTAATATCTTTCATCATCATTGTTCTCCAGTAACATTGAAAAAGGTAGTGTTGGCAAACTTGGAAGCTTGTCAATATGTTAATGTGAAAGCCAGGTATGTCATTTATATTCTCTGTTAATTTAGGATATGAAGACTACATTAATATGGGCATTGACCCTAAGAAGCTTGTGATGGGTGTTCCCTGGTATGGCTATGACTATACGTGTCTGAATTTATCTGAGGTAAGACTAAGGCATTTCACTCTTAACCATTTTTTAATTATTTTTACTCCTGTAATATACTACATAATTTTTGGCAGTTATTTTTACAGTAAAAGAAGACAAAAGCAGTGTTATGTGGTGGTACAGGCACAACACTTATTTTGGATATTGGGCTGCTTGTTTCTGAAGCTGATTGACAGTGTAATGTTGAGAAGATCTTTTACTTCTGTCCCTCATGTTTCTCCATCTTAAAATGTTAAGATTATGGGATTTAGGCGTTGTTATAAAATGCTTTAAATTGGTGGTGCCTAACCTTCCCAGCACTGTGGGTTGAATGCTTGGTGGTAGGTCAGGGGTGGGCAAAATACGGCCCGCGAGGCCATTCTATCCAGAGCCCACCCAGCCCCCACCCGGAAGCCCCTGCTGTGGTTTCTGGGCTGGGAGCATGTGGCTGCTGCAGCACGGGAAGCTCAGGTAAATGGTAGGGGGTGACCCTGGGCAGGGAAGGAGCGTGGCGGGGTGGGAAGTGGCCCCTTCCCGCCCACACTCGGTGCCCCGCGCTGCAGCTGCTTGCAGCCCGCGTTGGGCTACCTGTACCTGCTCTGGACAGCCCCATGTGGGCTGCGAGTGCCTGCAGTGTGGGGCGGGGGAGGGGCCGGGTCCCC